TTATGGACTATTTTTGTTCTAAATCATGATATATAGGAAACACTTAACTGTAAGAATATTTTTCTTTCACAAAAGATTAGCGTAAAGTTAGTAACAATATCACATTAGCTTTCCTACAGTAATATATATTCATTAGATGTGTATGAGACAAGAAGCCTAGAATTATTGTCATAATCTTTACTTCTTATTCAAGACAACAGCTTGATTTTTATGTGGTAGCTTGAATATCTATCCATTTCATCATCAAATTATCTGAAAAGATGAATTAATGTAACCAAGGCATTTTATGGCATTAATCATTTTATTGTACACAATGATGAAGTGGTGTACCACCCTCCCATATATTTTTATAACAGACTTAATTTGTTTGACAACTATATGCTGCTTCCAAAATACTCACTCTCACACATAAATTTCAGAAGGAAAATATTCTATTTATCAGTCTGAAAACATGCATTTAGATCTGGAGAATGAAATGAGGAATAACTCTTGGAAAAGTAGGACTAGTACTCTGCACAGCAGTCCTTAGAATAAATGCTGTTGGTTGAATTGACGTTATAAAATACTATATATGGGACCAAGTAATTTGCTCTGTTTACTCTGACAGACAATAGAACAGTGAATATGTTTTTTGTATTTCTAGTGTGGTGGCACCTGAGATCCTAGAGCTCAGAATTCAAAAGAAAAAAAAATGTTTTAATATTGTACCTTTAAGAAGACAGGTTTTTGGTAGATGAACATGATGTTTTACTGTAGTTTATTTTAAGAAGCAATTTGAAATATAGCTATTCTACATCTTATTTATCTTTTTTTCCCTTGCTGTCCACTCTACTCTGTTTGTGAACAAGCTGAAGCAGGATCACAACTCACCACTGTTTAATTTGAGATATTATATCTCTATGTCTTGCCTAATAATTGAGTTTGCATCACAATAGTGGTTATTTTATAGTACATGTTAAAGTATTTTGTTATATTATAAACATCTCTGTAACCCACCTCAAATGTAATATTCTAGAATCTAAGTGTTAAATGCTGACTACTGAAAAGTGTACTTTTCTATTTTCTAGAACGGCATGAGAAAATTGAAGCTGACCTTTTTAACATATGCAACTCCTAAGATAATTTACTTAATTTGCAATTTCTTTACAGACTTGAGAAAGCACTTTATTTCTGGAGTCTTAGAATTTATAATTTTCTTATAGGAACCTCCTTTTGAACAATTAGTGTCTGTCACTTTCATATGAAGAATTTGGGACTCTAGTGTTGCTTTATCCCAGGTGTAGTCCCATTTAGAATAATTTACTTTTTGCAATCTATGTATGTTTTTAAACTTTTTATCATTTAAAAACTACCTTTATCTATTCCCTGTCAAAATTTTGTATTTTGTAAGCACAGCTCCTGGTTGAGATCCCAGTACAAGACCAAGAACTGACAATTACTGTGAAATTCTAGGAGGTTCTCATCCGCATAAGGATACTTTGTCCTCAAGGAACAGTGTTTAGTTAGCTTTGCATTCATGATTTAGTAGTGGCTATTGGAATATAGAAAAGCCCTGTGATGACTTTAAATTGATCTGTCTACCTATCTCTATCTCTATCTATCTATCTATCTATCTATCTATCTATCTATCTATCATCTGTCATTTATCTCTCAAGTAACAGATACACTTGTTTTTAATTTTCCATCCATCGGCTGGAGGGACTTGACTGAGCTTTGAACAGAGGAGGTGCCTGCTGAAAATGTAAAGAGGTTTCTCTTTCACTAGCTGAGGTTCCGCAGGTCTTCTGTGTACTGTAGTGCACGTGTCTGCGCTGCAGGCTGGACCCCACCAAGGGATGGAGTTAGAACACTGTGTAATTACACAGAAAAACTTAGAAATCTACGTCTTACTGAAGCTTGCTGCAACATTGAAACATTTATTAATTTGACTCTTCAATTAAATCTTTAACTTTCAAATTTTATCAGTGTCTTTTTTGGGGAAAATTTTTTTCATTTTATTTTACTCTTTTTGGCATAATGAAATAATTCAGCCCTATGAAATTGTAGAGAATAAGTTAATCATTGCCTTTGTATCTATTGCCCAACTTTTTCGAAGCAAATATTTTGTATACTTGGCTTAAAACATTTTATAACAAATATCATGTTTAATTCATATCCCCAGTGTGAGCCTCCAGTCTTCTTTCTCTCTGCATGCCTGATTATAAACAAAATGCTGAATTTGGTGTTTATTATAATGCATTTAAAGTATTTTCTACATATGTATAAATCCTTTATTAATATGCATAATTATTTTAAATTTTATCTGGCTTGTCTGTATGTATTGTGCAAAATAATTTTTCATGCAATAACCTACTTTATAGAACTTCTGGTTATAGTTTTACACACTTTTACTACTGGAAGTCTTCCCTTAGAGAATATGAAGAATATTCTACTCTATAGATATATCGCAATTTGTCTACTCACTTGTGGATGAAATTTAATGGTTTTCTAAGTTTTAAGTGGCTGTAAAATGACATCTAGTAAATCTTTGAATGAGTATTTCCCTAATTACAAATGTTTAGTGAAAATATAGTAATTCGTAATCATATAATTCATATTTTTCTACTGGCTTATTTATATTTTCATATTTATTTGTAAATTTTATTATATTTATGTATTAGTATTTTATAAGATACATACATGGAAAATATCTATTCTGTTGGTTGTTTTGAACATTGTATGTAGTATATCTTGTAAATTTTAATTTTTTTCACAATTGTATCCTATGTTTTGTTTTCTGAGCCTCATTAAGATTCAAGAACATAAAACTATACTTTTCTACAATTTATTGTAACACTGTTAGTTTTGCCTCTCATTTAAAAAAATATTTTCTTATACTATCTTTCCCCATTTTTTTCAGAAAGTTGTAAAAGTCCTAACAGTTGCATTTAAATTTCTAATATTTTTGGATGTTATTAGAAATTCAGAATCAATTATTCTGATATTCTATCTTTGTAGCAAATTTTATCATGTTAAATTTTTATAATACGGGAATATTTCTGAGACTGATATCCTTTGCTTTTCTGTGTAACATTATCATAGACTGAAGTAATACATTTTATAAATTTCTATAACTTTATACTGTTTTGATATTTAGGAAGATGATTCCCTCACACTTATTATGCTTGATCTCCCTTCTGTTTCCCTTCCTTCACTTTCTCCTTCCAAAGATATAAAATAATCCTAGTTATTTTTGTTTCTTTATATTTCCATTTGAATTTAATATCAGTTTGTCAGTGTTTGGGAAAGTTCCTTTGGAATTGGGGATTTTCTTTTAGATATGTAGAGTAAGTGGATTTAAATGCAGTCATAAATATAGATTGTCCATGAATTCAAATGTATAGGTTATCTCTGTTATTTTCTAATGAACTTCATATTATTTCCCACATTCTTCATCATTTAAAAATTATTTTTGTTAATCTCTAGGCTACCTTCATAAATCTCTGTTCATATTCTGTCAATGCTTTCCTTGTGATATATTTGGGGTGGTTTTTTTTTTTTTTGCTTTTTAAAACTCACATGGTATTTGTACATCTTTATTGGATTCATTGTACAAATTCAGTACATGCACACAATACATAATAATCAAGTCTGACTAATAAACATGTGTGTCTCTTCAAATATTAATAATTTTAAGTATTGTAAATGTTATGATTATCTAGTGATTTTGAAGTATAGCATACATTTTTTAACCTATAGTTACCATATTGTGTTAAAGAAGAACCAAAAGTAATTCTTCCACTCTAATTTATTAAACTTCTCTCTTACCCTGTCTACCCTTCCCAAAGCAATCTATAGATTCAATGTAATCTCCATAAAAATACTAATCATTTTCTTCATGGAAATAAATTCCTAAACTTCATGTGGGCACTTAAATGTAAATGGAACTACCAGATTGTGAGCATATATTTCATCATTTTCTATATTCTTTAAATTTATTTTATTTTATTTTTAATCAAATTTATACTTCTTTATAGCAGAGTAGGTCTCCATTGTTTATATATTTTTTCATTAAGTGTATTGGTACTTTTTAGGTACACAGCACAGTATATTCATCATTGGGATCTTGTACCTGTATATGGTGTATCTTGGTTCTTATTTTTTCCCCATATCCCTGCCCTCCCTTCACCCCTCCACCCTTCCCTATTTACAAAAACTTTGTTTCCATTTTTTCCTTTCCCATAATATTTTTCTTTCCTCTTCTTTCCTTTCCCCTACCCTTCCCACTTCCCCTACTCCTTGATCCCTTTTCTTCCTATTTCACCTTATTAATTATACAATTTGAAACTTATTTACACTTTTAGCTTTTCACATCAGAGAAACTATTTGGTATTTACACGTGTCCTTTTTATTTCACTTAAAAGTATGGCCTCAATATGCATGCATTTAGCTATAAATGTCTCTAGTTTCTCATTCTTTATGGCTGAGTAGTACTCCATTTTATATATTTTTTTAAAAAAACACATTTTCTTTATCCAGTCTCCAGTTGATGGGCAATTGGGCTGTTTCCAAGCTTTAGACATTACAAACTGTGTTGCTCTAAACATGGGTGTATATGTACCTCTGTGGTATGATTCTTTTAATTCTTTTGGAAAGGTACCAAGCAGAGGGTTTCTTAAATTATATTTTAAATTATATTATAGTTACATAGCAACTCTATTCCTTATGAATTTTTTTTTTTACCTTAAAATCAAAGAAATCTGTTACACCAGCTGAATGCCCTTTGGAACAGGAGGCTAGATGTCAGCCAAAGGTCTGGGTCTTGAGACTAATTGAATCTGCACATGATAATAGCCTTAGAAAGACTGCAAGACTGAGGGACTTTGAAGTGAATGATCTTAGTCTAACGCAGTTTTTTGTTTGTTTGTTTGTTTGTTTTTGTTTTTGGCTTTGATATGGAGACATTTTCTCTAGCTGTGAATTTATTGGACAGATTCCTGTCTAAAATGAAGATGATGTGAATGGAAAAGATTGTACTGGAGAAGGTGTGTTGGAAAGTCAAAGCTACCACTGCCTTTCAATTTCTACAACTCTATTATTCACTCATTCAAGAAAGCTTGCCAGTTGAAAGGAAATATAGCCTAAATTTTGAAAGACTAGAAGCTCAGTGTAAGGCATGCCACTGCAGGATCATATTTTCTAAAGCAAAGCCGTCTGTGTTGGCTTTATCTATCATTGCACTGGAGATACAAGCACAGAAATTTGTGTTAACAGGAGTAGAAGGTCTTCAAAAACATTCCAAGTTAAATGGCAGAGATCTGACCTTCTGGCAAAAGCTTGTATCCAGGTGTTTTACAGAAGATTCATTAAACAAGTGTTCAAAACCAAATGTTCAGAAGTTGAAGTGGATTGTTTCTGGGTGCAACTGAAGTATAGCTACTATAGAATAACTCACCTTGCAGCAATTCCTGAAACAGTTTCTTAATTAGTAAATTTGGCTGTTATTCTCTGTATAGAGAAAATTATGTAATTTTCTTTTACAATTGAAGTATTGAAATATTATCTTCAAAATAAACTGACTGGAATTGGAATACCAAAAGGGAAAAACTGGTATCACCAATCTAGTCAGCTAACATTTGAAAGCATTTGCTACATATAAAGTACAATATGCTAAGGGTGGGCCCAGTGTGGTAGCACGTGCCTGCAGTCCTAGCACTTGGAAGGCTAAGGCAGGAGGATTGCCATGAGTTTGAGGCCAGCCAGAGCTACATAGCGAGTTCAAGTTCAGCCTAAATTACATAGGGAAGCTCTGCCTCAAAATTTAAAAAAAAAAATCCTTAGGCGTTTCCAATCTCTTACATTTTAACCATTTCATTAAATTAACAGCTTAGAAAACAACATCCTCTCTAATAATCTGAATTTGAAAGGTAGTGCTGAAGTAATGTTTTTTTTATTGCACATTTTGCTAAATGTAGCTCTAAGCTCTAGCTCATTTAAAGTTATAATAGGACCAAAACTTTGATCTATATATTCACTAATTTGAGACCATTAGCTTATAAGCAGAATCATTATGAACTTGAATGCTACACATAAAGAAAAAATAATACAAAGCAGATTATCTCATTTGGGTCTCTGAAAACTGCCAGTATGTCTCCACATACTGCTATTGCAAATGGAATAGAAATTAATTATATTCATGAAATATAAATCCAGGAAGTCCATGTATTCTGTATGTTCTTGCCATCTAAATTTATTAACTTACAGTAATGATTTATCTTTTCCTACTCAAAACTAAATACTAATATTTAGCATATCTACATATGATTATGAAATTTAGGTATGAAAAATTTACTTTTAACAGCGAGTATTTAGATAAATTTTTGATAAGTTGGAGGTTTTTGTTGTTTACATAAATAGTATTATTGCAGCAACAAAACAATTTCTTTGAAGCCTTTCTCCACTACCCTGAACTGTGGATTCCATAGTGTTATAACAGATTTAAATTAGGAGACCTCAAACATCACAACTAGATTTGTATGATATTTGCCATTTTGGAAAGCTGCCTAATTAATAAAGTGCTGCAGTAGGAATGTTTAGGCTTGAATTCATCTATAAAGCTAAAGTCATAAATGCGGAACACTTAATATAAGCCTAAAAAGGTGAACTGTGAACTTTCACTTCTATCATTAATTTAACTTTCTAGACTGTATCAACATATTATAATTAGGTAATACTGAAAATGATATCCTACTTAATTTAAATGTTAAATTTTAAATGAGGTTTGCAGCAAAACCAATTATTTCACAATGCACTTTTTAAGACATAGTAAAGGTTATATTCTAGATAATGTAATCGTTTCTTGACACCCATAATACAAGTAATAGTTCAGAGATGAGAATATTACTACTCTATGGGAATTACATTTAAATTTAAAAACGTTTTGTTTTTAACCAAAATACAGACCTACTAAGCTTGGCATATTCATTGAACTGTCTTTAATGTTTCTTCTAAAAAACAAGTGACAGTTGTTGATGATAAATAAAAAGGTGAACTGTGAACTTTCACTTCTATCATTAATTTAACTTTCTAGACTGTATCAACATATTATAATTAGGTAATACTGAAAATGATATCCTACTTAATTTAAATGTTAAATTTTAAATGAGGTTTGCAGCAAAACCAATTATTTCACAATGCACTTTTTAAGACATAGTAAAGGTTATATTCTAGATAATGTAATCGTTTCTTGACACCCATAATACAAGTAATAGTTCAGAGATGAGAATATTACTACTCTATGGGAATTACATTTAAATTTAAAAACGTTTTGTTTTTAACCAAAATACAGACCTACTAAGCTTGGCATATTCATTGAACTGTCTTTAATGTTTCTTCTAAAAAACAAGTGACAGTTGTATTGATGATAAAAATTTCTATACAGAATCTACTTCCTCAGTCTATCTAGTTCCATTAAAAATATGTTCTAAAAATATGTTCTATTATATTACATAGTTAAATCAAAATCAATTATTACTCCGAAAACTTGCTTTATCATAAATTCTGGCTAAAGTACCTCAGGTTTTACTCTGGACAGTTTCTATAAAACTGCCATTGCTTCAAGGTTTTTTTAAAGAAATAGAATATACTTTTACCAATTTCCATAAAGTGTCTTTCGAAAAGTAAGGAGGCACCACCATAATTATAAGATTGCTGAGGTAGTGTTTGGAATTCTCTGTGTGAGCCAATCAGTGTAAGGAGATGGACATATATTGTCAGTGGTGTAAACAGTTGGTGTAGCCTGAAGCCGGAGTCTATCCACAGTGGATGTAACCAATTTTGACATCATGTTACAAATAAATAAGCATTGAAGAATAAACCAAAGAACCACAATATATTCTACCTTTAACTTTTTGTAAATTGTGCTTTGTGGATTACTTCGGTTTTACCACAAGGCTGATATATTTCAATATTTTGCAAACATCAGATTAATTTTGAGTTGGCAGAGATAAACAACCCAACTACTATTATGTTTGCTCCTAAGAGATATGCCTTTCAATAAAATTATTGAAGTGCAAAAAGTTTTTTTCCATAAGAAGAGATATTGTGTTCCAGAAAATATATTGAGGTATAATTCACATAATCTGCCATTCAACTATTTGAACAATTAATATATTATGAAAATATTAATTTTTAAAAATTATATCTGGTTATATATAAATAAAAATTACCATTTTACATTTTAGTGCACAATTCAGTGGTGTTAATTACTGTCATGTTTGTAACCATTACTACTACCTACTTCCAAAAACCTCTGCAGACATAAGTTCCCCAATCTCCCCTCCTCTCCTGATAAACTATTTTACACTGTACTTTCTTAAAACATCAAAAACAAAAAGAGATATCCTTCATATTGTTGCTTCACTTGTCTTCTCTTCTCAAATTGTTGAGAGATATTAGCCACAGATTACTCTAGAAACATGTGATATGCTCTGAATGAAGACCCATTTAGCCAAGAGTTTAAATAATAATGTTCAATATTAATATTAAAACAAAACAACAATATAAGCGTGGAAGTAAGCCTAAAAAATGTATATCTATATTTCCTTTTTCTGCATCTGAAATAAGAATTACCTACAAATTTTAACAGTGCTTTGTTGAAAGTTAAATGTTTGTATGTACTATACTACTGATACAATTAAAAGAAAAATAAAAAAATATAAATGTCATTTGTGTTATCCAGAAATCTTCGCTCCATTTTCTTTCCCATTTCTCTGATTCTTACTGGAATGACTAAATTTCAGAATTTGTGGAAATCTGGCACAGTTTTAACTTCTTCCAGGGTTCCAGAGTTACTTTTGCTTTGCACTTAACTTTCTAAATCCTCAGTTCTCCCTGACACTCATCTGTGTGATCATGTGGTTTGTCTTTCTACTCTGCGTGCTGGTGTAAATGTGGACTTCTAACGTTCAGCTGCTCTGTACAGTCCAACCCCAGATTGTATGACACCATTACAGGTCCACTGAGCATCCTGAACCATTTTGCTGCAAAGGCAGATAGAAAGCAGCTCCTTACCATGAAATGTACAGATTTGAGGTAGGGAGGTTTTCTCCATTTGTGTCTTTCTGTTTGATAGTGTCAATTAAATAAATTCTGTTGCACTATGAGGGTAATGAGTCCAAAATTAAATACTGCCTTGAAATATTCTATCTAAAAACTACAGTCTATACTTAAACCCTGAGTACTTAATAGGACTGCATGAGATTTCAGGTAATATTAAGTTTAAATACACTTTTTATAAAAAAAAATCCAAAGCATACAGGTTATTTGATTTTATTCTTTTTGAAACTATTGTGTCCTATTGTTAATAAATATTAGTGAAATATGTATAAAACATAACTTCTGAAATGCTTTAAAGTCATCTTTTATGAGTATCAAAGTATATTTTCCTTTGTGATTGAGCCCATGTGATCAGGCAGATTTTAATCCTGAATTCTCAGAGAATTTGCAGTTCAATGAAGCGATTGGTTAAGAAGTTTCTGTAACTGTACTGTTTTCTGTAGCTTAAACTCTTATTGGACAAAGATGAGTGCTGCTCTTACTTTATAAAGATTAAAGGTAAATAATGCAGCTAATAATTTAGCACAGATTAAAAGTGCACCATGCAGTTGATTACTATCATTAATATGAGGATTATGGCTAAAAGGCATTTTGCACACTCTGAAGAAAGTGAAGAAAATCTAGTAATAAGCATTCATTTCAAAGCAAGGATCTTTTGTTATTTCATTGCCAACATTTTTAGTAATCACAGAATATATAAAACTAAAATTAGTATTTTATAAATATGAAATATTAGGTTTTATAGTTAGGTATTGTATTACCATTTGGTACATACTTCAGCTGAAATTAGTTAGAACTTGAAAGCTTATAAATTTCTTTTTTCTTTTTTTTCTTTTCTTAAATCTTGAAATGTTTTGTTTTATAGAGGTCATGCTATTTTTTTCAATAATTATTTATGCATATTACTAAAATGTATAAATTATTCATCACAAAGATATTATCAAATAATTTACATGTAGACTTCCATTTGCAACAAAATAATTAAACCATAATCCAAACATATAGGTGCTTTAAGTATATAAGCAATTTCAAAAATATATTATATATATTGTAGGCTTTCCTGAGTTCTTCCTTCAACTTCAACAATATAGTGATATGCAAATACTTGATAAATACTCCTTCTTTAAGTCATTAACATTTAAATAATGACCATTAAAATGTGATTGAACCCCATTTAAGTTGTTTATACACAAGCACATAGCTTATTTAAAAAATATGGACTATCCCAATTTCTTTCTGTCCTGTAGCCTTAGATCTGAGCATTAATTATGTACCTTTACCCAATAAACACACTGCCTCTGATATTCAGAGG